CTACCGCCACTACAACAACAACAACTACTACTACTACTACTACCACTACTACTACCACTACTACTACTACTACTACTACTACTACTACTAATACTATCACTACTACTGCTACTACTATGACTACTATCACTACTAGTACTGCTACTACTACTACTACTACTACTACTACTACTGCTGCTACTACTACTACTACTACTAATATTACTACAACTACTACTGCATCTACTACGACTTCCTTCTACTACTACTCCTGCTACTACTACTACTGATTACTACTACCACTACCACTACTTCTACCACTACTTCCACTACTACTACTACTACGACTACTACTGCTACTTCGACAATTGATTACTACTACCACTACCACTACTACTACCACTACTTCCACTACTACTACTACGACTACTACTGCTACTTCGACAATTACGACTACGACTACGACTACGACTACAACGGCTACGACAAAAACGTCTACAACTACGACTACGACTACGACTACGACTGCGGCTGCGACTGCGACTACTACTACGAGAAAGACTACGACTACGACTACTACTACGACCCTGACTACGACTACTACCAATACTACCACTACTACGACTACTGCCGCTACCACTACACTACTCCTAGTAGTGGTCGTAGTAGTCCTACTACAACTACCACTACCACTACCACTACCACGACGACTACTACTACTACTACTACTACTACTACACCTACTACTACTACTGCTACTACTACGACTACTACTTCTACTGCTACTACTACTACTAACTACTACTACTACTACTACTACTACAACTACTACTACTACTACTGCGACGGCTACTACTACTACTACTAAGATGACGACTACTGATACTACTACTACTACTACTACTACTACTACTACTACTGATACTACTACTACTACTACTACTACTACTACTACTACTACTACTACTACTACTACTACTGCTATTACGAGTACTACTACTACTACTACAACTACGATTACGACGGCTACTACTATTACTACTACTACTGCTGCTACTACTACTACGACGGCGACTACCGGCTACTACTCCTACTGCTAGCGTTTCGACGACAACTACGACTACTAGTACTACTACTACTACTACTACTACAACTACTATTACTACTAACACGACTTCCACGGCTACTGCTACTGCTACTGCTGCGACTACGACTACTACTATTGCCGAATATGACTACAACCACGACGACTACTACTACTATGGCTACTCCTACTACTGCTGCTGCTGCTGCTGCTAGTCATACAATCGCTTACGACGACGACTACGACGACTACTACTACGACTACGACTACTACGGCTTCCACTACTACTACTACTACTACTACTACTACTACCACTACTACTACTACTACCACTACTACTACTACTACTACTACTACTACTACTACCACTACTGCTACTACTACTACTACTACCACTACTACTACTACTACTACTCCTGCTGCTGCTACTACTACTACTTCGACCACTACTGCTACGACTACGAGTAATGCTAATATTACTACTACTACTACTTCTACCACTGCGGCTACGACTACTACTACTACTACTACTAGTACGACTACTACCACTACTACTACTACTACTACTACTACGACTACTACTACTAGTACTACTACTTCTATTACTACGACTATTACGACTACTACTACGACTACTACTACTACTACTACTACTACTAATACTACTACTCTTACTCTTACTATTACTCTTACTCTTACTCTTACTCTTACTACTACTACTACTACTACTACTACTACTACTACTACTGTTACTACTACTAACACTACTACTACAACTACTTCTACTACGACTGGTACCACTACTACCACCACCACTGCTACTACTACGACTACGTCTACGGCTGCCACTACAGCTACGTCTACGCCTACTACTACTACTACTACTACTACTTCTTCTGCTTCTTCTTCTACTACTACTACTACTACTACTGCTGCTGCTACTACGACTGCTACTACTACTGCTGACGCCACTACTACTACTACTACGACTACTACGGCTACTGCTACTACTACTGCAACTACTACTTCCTCCTTCTACCACTACTCCTGCTACTACCACTACTACTACTGCTACTACTACTACTACTACAACTACTACTACTACTACTACTACTACTACTACTACTACTACCACTATAACCCGTACTACCACTACTACCACCACCACTACTACTACTACTACTACTACTACTACTACTACTACCACCTACTACTACCTACTACGACTTCGACAAATCATACTCCTAGTACTACGACTACGGCTACTACTACTACTACTACTACTACTACTACTATTACTACGTCTACAACTGCGACTACGACTACGACTACGACTGCGACTACTGATACGACGACGACTACGACTACGACTACTACTACGACTACGACTACATCTGCTACGACTACTACTACTACTTCTACTACCACTACTACTAC